GGGCTGGGGGTCGGGGGGGGAGTGTCCCCCAGTGGTTGCAACGGCAGAGCTGGGGAAAGTTGATCCTGCTTCTCTCCCTGGTGCCCAGTAAATTAGAGTATTGTTGGAAGCAGCCCTGGAGGAAGGTTCCTCCTGGGGGGGGCTGTTCTGGGGCTCGGGGGCTGTGGCTCCACGCTGACCCTGCTGCGGTCAAGGGCAGGGCACCACTGTCCCTTAGCCCTTGGTGTCCCCAGGGACAGGAGTTTCCAGGGTCCTGTTTGCATAGGCAAGGAACGCAAATGTTTACCCTGGGCTGTCTCCAAGGAAAATATCCCTGGTGAGGTGTAAATTCCTTGAAATCCCCCAACAAAACCATTTGATGGGAGAATTAACTGGATAGGAAACTGTGGTTTGGGGTGGGGGCTGGTGTGGGATGCAGGGCAGGATGGGGTGGCAGTGGGTGAGCCCTGGGGGGACCAGGAGTGGCAGTAGGAGGTTTGGCTTTACAAAAAAGCAGAGCCACGATGGTGTCAGCGAGCCAGCTGCTGGAGATGCCACGAGGGAAGGGGAGCGAGGACGTGGGTTAAGAGGAGGCTGGGAGCAATCTCCCAATACATGTTTTTCACCGGAAGGAACACCATGTCCTTGGAAAGGCTGATATTGTCTGGCTCCAAATGCAGCCTCAGATGATGTGGGAGGGCTGGGAGTGGGGTGCATCCTTCAGGCACCCAGGGAACCTGTGGAGTAGGGCAGCTGTGGGTTCCTCCGCCACTGGCAGCATTCCCAAAAGCTTTAAACCTGCACTGCTACTGGAGAAGTGCCTTAGCCCTGCCCTGGCATGGGGTGTGGAGTGTTTCCCCAGGTTCAGACAAACCCCCAAGATGCTCATCTGCTGCCTGGAGATTGCCCAGAGCCCATCACAAGGTGCCAACAGCCAGGCTGGCCACAGGGATGCTCCAGTTGACCCTCATGGATGTGGGGGAGTGAGGCAGCTCTTTGCCAAAACCGGGGAACCTGTAGGAGCCATTATTAGGGGTTTGACCCTCCCCAGCCACCTCCCAGGCTCTGGGTAGATTTTGGGCCACAGGGCCATGGGGCTCAGCTCCTGGCCAACAAGCTGCTTGCACCTCTCTGCATCCTGCAGCCCACAGGGACCAATGTGAGCCTGGCATAGTGCCCTGCTCCCCAGCCAGCTCACACTGCTGAGCCTGACCAGGGCTTGAGCCACCTCCTGGGACAGAGCTGGGACAGACCTGAGGAGCTGTTCGGGGCTGTGCTCCCTGCTCCACTAGCTCCCACCATGGGAACAGCCACCCACTTCTAGTTATGTCCCCTAATTGCCTGCACAGGGCTTTGGTGGCTTTCTCCTGGTTAATAAGGACTTGGTGGCTGGGGGAGCAGTGTGGCTTGTGCAGTGGTGGCACCGTGTGGTTGTGTCCCTTCCATGTGTCCCTGATCCCTGCCATGCACAGGGAAAGGCTGAGCTACTTCAGAACTGAGTTTTCCTGAAACCAAAATAAAAATAAGGGACCTCTTTCTCCAAGTCCCCTCTCCTTGGGTGCTGGTGCCAAATCATCCTTGGTGGAGGTGGGGGATGGAGGAGTACTTAATGAGCCACAGCCAATGGACACCCTCTCTGTCACTGAGCTTCCACAGCAGCCTGGGTATGTCACCCAGTGTCCCCACCATGCTCTGCCTTGCCATGCCCAGGCTGCATGGCAGAGCTGAGGGTGCCAGGGGCTCCAGCAACACCATCTGAGGGCAGTGTGTCACTCTACCCTGCAGGACTGGGGTCCCCCACCCCCAGTGGCAGGCGGGCTGGCCGGGCTGACCCTCGCAAGAACCTCCTTCCCTGGTTGTTTTTCCACCAGAGCTGGGCAGGAGCCAGCCCCCGCCTGCTGCAGATGTTTGGCAGGAGTTCGGGGCGAGAGGCCAGGCACTTCCAGCCCCGTGGCCACCACACTGCTGCTGCCACCAGCCTCCCTGGCTGTCCCCGAGCTGCGTGCCAGGGGCTGCAGAGACCTTGTGCCAGGCTGCAGGGTCACAGCTGAGCACAGAAAGCGTGAAAGCAGAGGTGGGGACCATGTACTGCTGCTGACTGAACTTGTCCCAGAACTGACCAAGCAGTTTCTGCCATACAGAGTGACAGGCCAGCAGTGTGCCAGGGTGGTAGCGGTGAGCTTGAGCAGCAGCAGGCAGCACTGCCCTGGCTCGCAGCAGTGCAGCTTCCCTTTGGCAGCCTGACATGGCATCAGTCCCAGGGCAGCCTCTGAACTTTTGTTCTAGGTGTGCAATGGGAGGCAAAAGCAGAACAAGCTCTGCCAGGCGAGAGGCCCCAGATCTTCGGGCACGAGGCCTCCACACGCTGCCAGCCCGCAGCTCGCCCAGCCCTCGCCACCCTGCCCCAGCCCATGTGCTCCCGCACCCTGCCCTGGTTCCGTGGCAGCCTCCCTGCTGGGCATGGTGCCCAGCACCTTTTGGAGTAAGGACCCCCCTCCCTGAGTGCTCTCGCAGCCCCCCAGGCTTTGGTCCGGTTGCTGCCCCCTCCCCATTGCCATCCCTTCCTCTTCCAGGGTAAGATTTGTCCCCCTGCAGAAATGCCACTGACTCAATTTCCCCCCCTTCCCACCGCAAAGGGGGACTGTCCAAAGGCAAGGTGAGAGCCAAAATCCCCCATCCCCTGCTCCCTGCCAGGGTTGCCCCATCCTCGTCCCCCAGCAGCAGCCCCCATGAGCCAGCAGCCAGCTCCTGCCACACTCCAGCACCTCTAGGAAAGTATCCCAGTGGGTGCTGAATCACCTCAGCGCCTGCATCGTGCCTGCTTGCCACAGTGTCTGCTTCTCAAAAGGCAGGAAAAGGCTTTTTTCCTTGGCAAAACACCACATAAACACTGCCTCTGAGCTCCAGCACTGTTCAGGCACTGAAGCCAGGGCTGCAGAAGGATTTGCTTATCTTACTCCATCCTGGAGGAGGAATTTCCGACTCAAATGTGTTGGAAATTCAGTCTATATCCATTCTCCCCTATCTCCATTTAAAAAATGTCCTGGTTTCTCCCTGCTTTCCCCCAGCTGCCATTTCACTTCGTGTTTGTTGTTGTTACAGGCAAACCCCTCTTTCCAAGGCCTTTCCTGGAAATGTTTGCCACAGACTTGAAACTTTCCAGAAAACTCATACCATGAAAGGAAACCTCTCACATCCCTTGGCTGCTCCAAGGGGCACACGGAGGTGGGAGCAGGCACCGGGCATGGTTACATGGACAGGGAGGGGGGGGGAGGTGTTTCATGCTTTCCCTCGTGTTTTGCTCCAAACCAGGCTTCCTTCTCAAACCATTCCAATGTTTGTGGCTTCTTCCCTATTCCTCTCATAGCGAAGCTGCTCAGCTCACGTTCCTGGTGCCAGATGCCGCTGGCCATCCCCACAGTGTCCCCAGGGAAGCAATGCTGGGGTGGGGCACGGTGGGGGGGGAGAAGCAGAGCTGGGGCTGTTCCCACCCTACACGTCCGTAATGTCTTCCAGCTGCTGCCGCACCGTGCCAGCACGGGAGGGAGAGAGGAGGAACAACAGGAAAATAACTCTGGTTATTTGCCTCAAATTCTGCAACTTGAGAGGGAAAGGGAGAGTCAACAGCTCAAAACAGAAATTTGTTTCTGGGCTGGGCAAGGAATACACGTCCCTTTCCTCCCGGCACAACCACAGCCCGTGGCTGCAGCACAGGCATTTCCTCTGCTCACAGGGGTCTGTGCTGGGCTCCCTTCCTGGGGTGGGAGGTGTTTGCCCAAGGTCCTACTTCCCCGGGAATCGCCTGCCCCTCTAGCCCCAACCCATATCAGATGCCAGCTGCCATGGATCAAGCCACACAAGATGAGACAGGATTTGAACACTGCAGGGCTGGTTGCTCTTTCCAGCAGAGAAAATGGGATTTGAACAATTCCCACCAGCACCACCGTAGTGTTTCCCCACATCCCTGACTCATCCTGTTACTTGAGACCTCTCCTGCCATGAGTCACCAGGACACCGTTTCAGCCCCAGGACTGCTCCTGCCCCACTGACCCCGGCACGAGGCTGGTGTTGGGGAAGCGATGCTGGTCACCAGAGTGGGAGGAAAGCAGCCATCACCGCTGTCAGAAAGTCCTGAGGGATCCTTCCTGCTGTCTGACAACCATTGCCCAATTGAAGTTTGCCCTCCCAGAGCGTGGAGCTGGGCTGGCAGTGTGCCTCGCATAGGGCTGCGGCCTCCAGGCTCCATGGCCAGACAGAACCCCAGCACCTTGAGCCAAAACAGCGCAGGAGGTCTCTGTGCAGGACCACAGAGAGGGCTTCTGGAGAGGCTGCAAAGTATCTCAAATCCTGTGCACAGGCACCCAGACACCACCCGTGGTGTGAACAGAGCCACACGACATGCTCATGTGTAGGTTAAAAGTCCATTTATTTCACAACAAAGAGCAGTGCAAGAACTTACATGATCCCCTGCCACTGACTGGGCACAAAGCTGCTCCTCCCACTTTACCTGCCCAGGTGAGAGGTGCACAGATCCCCAGTGGGGCCGGTGTGTTGGGTGAACAATGAGGGCTCTCGCTATTGGGAGTGGGGAGCACAGCCAGCGTGCAGGCAGACAGGCTGGCAGGAGCTGCACACACTCCTCTGCCCTGCGAGACCCAGAGGAACCAAGAGCCCCATAAGATTTTCCTACAATTTCAGCAGATAATGGATAGAGGAGAAGCCAGTGCCAGCTGCACGTCTGCTGTGCAGCCAGGACGGGCTCTGTCACCGATGCTTTCAGCCAAGCCTTCAAACTTGCAACCAGAAGCCACATCCATCTTGCTTTGACCCTTTTTTCCAAACACCCTGAGAGCTGGGACTCCAAAGAAGAAATAACTTTGTCGGACATTTCCACTCCTTGCTGCTTGCCTGGAAGGAGATGGGAACACCAGTGAAGGCAAGACTAGCCTTCCTGCCTCATGGCAGCAAGTTGTTTCTAGCTGGACACATCCACAAAGTCATCCACTTTGCTCTCCCGCTGCTGCCTGTGCTGCCACCTCCCCCGTGGTCCCCGTGAGCTCGGTGGGCAACAGGAGGCAGTGAGTTCACCCAGCGAGAGCCTGGTGCCAGCACAGGGGCAGGCATCCGAGTGCTGGCCCACCCCGGCTCCTGCCCGTCTCTCCAGCTCTCAGGGTGCCCCACTGGGCTCTGCGGGGTCCCTGGCACAGGGTCCCATGGCCGCAGCCCCCTGCCCGGCCGTGCCCCAGTGCCCACACCTCACACGATGCCGTTGCGCGTGGGGTGAGTTCGCACACGGTAGATGATGACGGCAGTGGCCGGGCAGAGCACCAGCGCCGTCATCACCAGGATGGTGGCCAGGATGATCAAGACGATGACCCAGACGTCCAGGATGTGCTTGGGAAGGGCGGCAGGACCTGTGAGTTCCAGGAGGTCCATCCTGCAAGGGAGAGGCAGGGGGGTGATGGGGCAGCCCCCTCCATCCCTCCCACAGCCAGAACCCCTGCGCTGCTCTGAGCAACCCGCTGCTCTCTCCAAGCTGTGGCCAGGTCCTGCTTTCACCTTGGGCTCCTCTGAGAGCCTTTGGTAAAGGCTCCTTCAATTAGCCCCAGGATTTACAGCGTGCTTTGAAAGCACTGGATGAAAGCCTAGAGAAAAACTTCCGTATTAATTGCTACCGTTGTTAAAGGAGCTGAAAAAGCAAAACCATAACAGGGCATCCCGCTGGTCACTCACCGGTGGGTCATCGCGTGGGGAAATGGTGGGGTCAGGTCAGCCAGAGCCCCCCTCCCTCCTGGGGAGCCTCCTCTGTGTGTGTCCCCACACCTGTACTCCGTGCTGGGTCACGGAGTTAACAGCTCAATGGGGCGGAGGGGCCAGAGAGCGGGGACCCCCCTCCACAGGGACCGCGGCTGTGTCCCCGTCCCGCTCCTGTACCCTGGGGGTGGGGGACACGATGCCGTGGAGAAGAGGCGTCAGCTGCCT